CCAATCTAGAAAAATGATCACACAATACAACTGATCACTGTGGAGCTGCTGACCAAGTATGAAGTCTTAATGTTAACAGATAAGTAATACAATAGCTCACACAATAAAACTGATCACTGTGGAGCTGCTGACCAAGTATGAAGTCTAACTGTTAACAGATAAGTGATATAATAGCTCACATAATACAACTAATTACTGTGGAGCTGCTGACAAAGTATGAATTCTTACTGTTAACAGATAAGTAATAAAATAGCTCATATAATACATCTCATCACTGTGGAGCTGCTGACCAAGTATGAAGTCTTACTGTTAACAGATAAGTGATACAATTGCTCACATAATACAACTGATCACTGTGGAGCTGCTGACCAAGTATAAAGTCTTACTGTTAACAGATAAGTGATACAATAGCTCACACAATACAACTCATCACTGTGGAGCTGCTGACCAAGTATGAAGTCTTACTGTTAACAGATAATACAATAGCTCACACAATACAATTCATCATTGAGGAGCTGCTGACCAAGTATGAAGCCTTACTGTTAATAGATAAGTAATACAATAGCTCACACAATACAACTCATCACTATGGAGCTGCTGACCAAGTATGAAGTCTTACTGTTAACAGATAAGTGATACAATAGCTCACACAATACAACTGATAACTGTGGAGCTGCTGACCAAGTATGAAGTCTTACTGTTAACAGATAAGTGATACAATAGCTCACATAATACACATCATCACTGTGGAGCTGCTGACCAAGTATAAAGTCTTACTGTTAACAGATAATTGATACAATAGCTCACACAATACAACTCATCACTGTGGAGCTGCTGACCAAGTATGAAGTCTTACTGTTAACAGATAAGTAATACAATAGCTCACACAATACAACTCTTCTCTGTGGAGCTGCTGATCAAGTATGAAGTCTTACTGTTAACAGATAAGTAATACAATAGCTCACACCATACAACTCATCACTGTGGAGCTGCTGACCAAGTATGAAGTCTTACTGTTAACAGATAAGTAAAACAATAGCTCACATAATACACCTCATCACTATGGAGCTGCTGACCAAGTATAAGTCTTACTGTTAACAGATAAGTGATACAATAGCTAACACAATACAACTCATCACTGTGGAGCTGCTGACCAAGTATGAAGTCTTATTGTTAACAGATAAGTAATACAATAGCTCACACAATACAACTCATCACTGTGGAGATGCTGTCAAAATATGAAGTCTTACTGTTAACAGATAAGTGATACAATAGCTCACACAATACAACTGATCACTGGAGCTGCTGACCAAGTATGAAGTCTTACTGTTAACAGATAAGTGATACAATAGCTCACACAATACAACTCATCACTGTGGAGCTGCTGACCAAGTATGAAGTCTTATTGTTAACAGATAAGTAATACAATAGCTCACACAATACAACTCATCACTGTGGAGATGCTGTCAAAATATGAAGTCTTACTGTTAACAGATAAGTGATACAATAGCTCACACAATACAACTGATCACTGTGGAGCTGCTGACCAAGTATGAAGTCTTACTGTTAACAGATAAGTGATACAATAGCTCACACAATACAACTCATCACTGTGGAGCTGCTGACCAAGTATGAAGTCTTATTGTTAACAGATAAGTAATACAATAGCTCACACAATACAACTCATCACTGTGGAGATGCTGTCAAAATATGAAGTCTTACTGTTAACAGATAAGTGATACAATAGCTCACACAATACAACTGATCACTGTGGAGCTGCTGACCAAGTATGAAGTCTTACTGTTTACAGATAAGTGATATAATAGCTCACACTGACCTCTTGGACCAGATCTGCTGAAATAGGAATTCTACAGTAATCTCTATTTCAATACCATTCATAAATACAGTTGATAACTCAGACTAAACTTAAATCACTATAAACAATTAAAATAACACAATATAACATTATCATGTGTAAATATAACCGAGCAATTATGTAGTTATGCATGAAATATAAATATTTTTTTAAGCATGGGAAATGTATCATATTTTTTTTGAATTTAGATTTCACATTTTTTAAACAACTGGATTACAAAAATAGCAATTATAATGCTTTAAAGGTAGTGAAGATGATTTTTACAAGCCAATTTTCCGGAGTGCCTTTTTTGCTGTTGAGAAAATATCAATAAATTACCTCCCATGCCTGCACTATCCTGGAAAAATTATCTTAAAATGTGGGAAAGGTAAATAAAATCTGTACTTAATTATGCCTTTACCATGTTTACTATATGTAATAACTCTAACTAATAAAAAACTAACAATAAATTGCCGTTGTGGTGTAACACTTAAAATTTTAATACTTGCTTCAAAGGAAATATGTGTAACGATAGTTATCTCCCTTGCTCATACATCATAAAATATCTGTGAAAGACAAGTTTCAATTAAGGAAAATACACAAAATCTCATGCAGTACAGATATAAAATAAAAACAACATTTTATATAAATTTCATGCATCCAAAGCACTTTTCAGGATTTACAATCCTCAGGAACGCTAAAAGACGAAAATTTGAAAGCTAAGGATGTATAAGAACCTACAGTAATCTGTACAGGAAACTGATGTTCAGTAGTTGTCTTTTGTTGATGTGGTTCATAAGTGTTTTTCGTTTCTCGTTTTTTATATAGATTAGACCGTTGGTTTTCCCGTTTGAATGGTTTTACACTAGTAATTTTTGGGGCCCTTTATAGCTTGCTGTTCGGTGTGAGCCAAGGCTCCGTGTTGAAGACCGTACTTTGACCTATAATGGTTTACTTTTATAGATTTTGACTTGGATGGAGAGTTGTCTCATTGGCACTCATACCACATCTTCTTTTATCTACTAAACAGTTGTAGAGCTATATAACCAAAGGACCTAAAATATCACTGATAGAGTACAGATAAATATCACTCATGGAGTACAGATAAATATCACTCATAGAGTACAGATAAATATCACTCATAGTGATTGTGGCAGATATTTTTGTATATTTCATAGGATATAATATCTGAGTGATATGACCCAGGCCTCCAATCAACAAGTATTTACTATTTCACTGTGATTCACTGAGTGACAATACACAATCTTCCAATTAGTGCATTCCCCTTAAATTTTAACATCACAAAGCATATATCTTCACATCACAAAGCATATATCTTCACATCACAAAGCATATATCTTCACATCACAATTGCAATGTCCAATGACAAATTTTTCAGAACAAATGACCCCCGGTTAACTAGGGCAGTTCATTCATAAAAAGGAAATTGGAAACAAGTCTTTTACAACAAAAATGTTTCTCATTGATTCCACTGATACCTACTTTATCATAAATGTTTCAGCAGAAGAAATTTAACGCTATTCCTTAATTGAAAAGCATATCTATCTCCTGATAAAGGATACATTCTAATAGTTTGCAGTAATTTGTTGGGCAAAACTCCCCAATGTAACAGGTCATGCTGAATATAACATGGTTTTCCTGTTTGAATTGTTTTACACTAACTATAGTCATTTTGGGACCCTTTATAGCTTACTGTTTGGTGTGAGCCAAGGCTCCGTGTTGAAAGCCGTACTTTGACCTATAATTGTTTACTTTTTACATATTGTGATTTGGATGGAGAGTTGTCTCATTGGCACTCAATCCACATCTTCTTATTTATATTTAGTTATTTTTTAACATAAAGACTCTTCAAAGCAAATAAGCAACTGTGAGTTCATTTATTTTCGTGGGTACCAATCGTCATGGATTAAGGAAAAATTGTATATTTGTGGATATTTGATTTTGTGGTTTTGCCAAAGTCTGCATACAAGCCTTGAGATACTTTGTTCTTCATTGAACATTTAAATTTGTGGTTTATTTTTACCATCAAAATCCATGATAATTGGTATAGCATGTAACCACAAGTATTATTCAGACATCTACTGTAGTTATAGATTTTGTCATCTCTTTACAGGGCATTACACCAAAAAGGTAGAAGCTTCAATGATGATACATTATTGTAAAGTACTAGTTAGAATTATTCTAAATAGAGTGGTTTTTTTTAATATCAAAGTTCAACAGTGAATATTGTGTATTTCCACTTCAAATTTTAATCAAGGCTGTCTAAAACTTCACAAGAAAATTTACCAACCAGTCAGGGTTGTCTAATTATATAAATAATATACAAAATTTCTGTTAAAAAATATTCTGTGACTTCATAAGTTTCTGTGATTTTGTTGTGTTGTAACGGTACAGTTATTAATGAAAATGTTGTAACGTCACGTCTCATTTTGACAAAGGAAAATGTTGTAACATCACGTCTCATTATGACAAAGGAAAATGTTGTAACGTCACGTCTCATTATGACAAAGGAAAATGTTGTAACGTCACGTCTCATTATGACAAAGGTTAATGTTATAAAGTCACGTCTCATTATGACAAAGGAAAATGTTGTAATATTACGTCTCATTATGACAAAGGAAAATGTTGTAACGTCACAGGAAAATGTTATCACGTCACGTCTCATTATGACAAAGGAAAATGTTATAACGTCACGTCTCATTATGACAAAGGAAAATGTTATAACATCACGTCTCATTATGACAAAGGAAAATGTTATAACGTCACGTCTCATTATGACAAAGGAAAATGTTGTAACGTCACGTTTCATTATGACAAAGGAAAATGTTATAACATCATGTCTCATTATGACAAAGGAAAATGTTATAACTTCACGTCTCATTATGACAAAGGAAAATGTTAAAACGTCACGTCTCATTATGACAAAGGAAAATGTTATAACATCACGTCTCATTATGACAAAGGAAAATGTTATAACGTCACGTCTCATTATGACAAAAGGAAAATGTTATAACGTCACGTCTCATTATGACAAAGGAAAATCATTTGTATCAGTGACCTATTACACAATGAAGTTAAAGTAAAATTGTCTGATTTTCTCTCTAAATTTCTTTCCATAAATTAAATATGCCGTACTTATGAAACTTATAAATGTAAATTAATCATAAAACAGTTATTTCATATGTAAATTCAAACACAGTATAGTCAGATCAGTTTTGGACCGGAAAGCTGAGTTTCGTTTCCATACGAAACTGACATATTTATCATAAAACAGTTATTGCATATGTAAATTCAAACACAGTTTAGTCAGATCATTTATGGACCAGAAAGCAGTCTCTTTGTGCATCTCATTCATAGTTTAAATGATGCTTTTGCATTTGACTCTCTAGTCTTATATATAATATCTTTGGCAAATCACATGTTTGATTCTTCATCTGTTTCCATAGTGACAGTTGTTGATGATGTACCAGCTTTCTTCTTACTCTTTTTCTGTTTTTTACCATCTTGTTTATTTTCATTTAATTTCTCATGGACACCACTTATATATTTATGCTGTAATGTAAAACATTTTCATTATTGTTTTGCCATAAATTAGGACATTATTTTTTGTGTGTGTATTATTTCATATTTTGTCATGTCAGGGCCTTTAAGATCTGACTACACTCAATGTTGAAGTTGTGCAAGGGGGCCTATAGTTGCTTAAATCCTCATCAATTAGCCTCTGATGGATAATTGTCTCAATGGCAATCATACCACATCTCCTTATTTTATAGTTGCAGTAAAGCAAACAATACTATAGAAAATTGCGAGCAAATCTGAATCCATTTGATGAATTTGTTTACAGACATGAGACCAAAATTTCTACAATTCTTTATTCATTTTTATCTTTTGCAGAATGGATGTTTATCTTACCTTGTTCTCTACATTCATTGGTTAAATAACAATGCAATCAACGTATCAAACATCTTGCTGTTAAATATTTTTTTTTTATTTCATGAAAAAGGGGACCATATTTAATAATGTTTTACAATAAGAGTACATTTATTGCCACATATCTATTAATATAGATCAAAATGTTCCCCCACTGTATCTAAACATATCAAACGAAATATAAGTCAGGGGTACTACTTAAACAAGTGATTTCATTATCACCTATCAGCTATTTCAGTGATTTGATAAATTCAGTTATCACCTATTTAAGTGATTTTGGTGTTTCCTTTGATCTTCAAATGCTAATTTTATTGAATTTCCATATTTTGACAAACTTTTCTATAATTTTCCTTCATAGAACTAATTATCCCTTTCTTTTGTATATCAATTTCACCAGTGCGCTTGGACAGTAAGTTAGTGCGCTAAAGCTTTTAAAATTACCCTTGGGACTTTTTCTATAATCAAATATTCATTAACTACTCTCACTATCAGACAAAGGTCAACAATATTAGGTAACCTGATTGGTTTTCTTTAGAGTTATAATGATCTACTTCAAGGTTATGTCCTGATCTACAAATTATTCCAGTTTTTGCATATTTTAAATAAACTGTAAAAACTGACAGGCTAATCAAGCAAAAGACAATTTCTGCATGTACACAGTTGTTTTTCAATGGAATTCTTGTCTTTTTACCAATAAAAAAGGCAAGCTTGTGGGAAAAATTTCAAGAAAATGTTGTAAACACTTGTTGAAGTGATTACATTTTAACTTTTCAAATTACTTGTTTCAGTGATTTTAAAAAGTCTCTGTCTATTTTTGTAAAAAATTTAATATTTCACAGCCAAAATCACTTGAAGAAGTGATTCTGAAATCACTTGTTTAAGTAGTACCCCTGACTGATATGTTATTTATAAATTACCCTCATCTTGGGATATAACAAATCACTCCACTTGAAACAAATATCTTACTTAGGGAGCAATACATTTGTACATTTCAAATTTGGAAGTTTTAAATGACTGCTCTAGAAAATGGTAGATCCTTTATATTTTCATTAAAACCAGCGGTTACCACCTTCAACTTGGTATTAATTAATATTGATGAAAAGCCAATAAAGACTGGACTGAAAAACATGATAATATTCTCTTAAGTGGACCATTGCAGTACAACTTCTCAAAATATTTTTCAAAGTGATGAAAAAATTCATTTGCAACCATTTCAGATAAGGCTAAAAGCCTCTCGGCAGAAAAAAAGTTACAAGTAGTTTTTAATGATTAACAAGAATGTGTCCATAGTACATGGATGCCCCACTCGCACTATCATTTTCTATGTTCAGTGGACCGTTAAATTGGGGTCAAAACTCTAATTTGGCATTAAAATTAGAAAGATCATTTCATAGGGAACATGTGTACTACATTGTAAGTTTCAAGTTGATTGGACTTCAACTTCATCAAACACTACCTTGACCAAAAACTTTAACCTGAAGCGGGACAAACAGACGGACAAACGGACGGATGCACAGACCGAAAAACATAATGCCCCTAGGTGAAAAAGATTTTACATAAGACTATATACTTTTACATTCCTTAACAACAAATGTCTTGACTTTTATAGTGCTTACCCAAAAATAAACATTATATGTGTTTTGGTAGGCATGAAAAGGACAACTACTACAGGAAAAGTATTCTCACACAAGTGTACATGTGATTAATGCAGTTACAGAACTTGACTGAGGCAGAGGAAAATAAATTTCAACGTTTTTAAAAGTCTGTCATCATGGCCATGTCACCATATTTCTTTACTGATGATACTATTTTTTATGCATGTTGATACATTTAATCTATAGAATGTGATCAAAGGGAGATAACTCTAAACATAAAACAAACTACCAATGTTGATCTAGTCAAAGTTGAGTTACATCTGACCAGAACCTAAGCAAATACTCTGACCACTCTTGACACATGGCAGACATAATATAGTTGTAATATCTTTCAATTAATACTAATGTCATTTAACAAAAGTTTGCTGACAATTAAATATTTAATTTCAGAATTGAGGAACAGTGATAATTAAGTTCAAAATAGAAATCCAGGCACTCCAGCTTCCTCCACCAATAAAAACTAACTGCAACGAAATAGGGCAATAGTGCTGCAAGTGGTGTTAAACACAAATCAATCAATCAATCAATCAAAAATAGAAATGACAACAGACATGAAATTCTGAATGCTTTATTTTGGTGTTAATTTCGTTCACAATACTTTTTTCTAGCCTTTGAGAATCACATGTTTCAGGCCTGGGGTAATGGTAATTTGTAATTGTAATGCATTGTAATATTAATTGTAATGGAAGAATCACAAAGTAATTGTAATGTAATGCATTACATTGCAATGTAATGGCCCCAGGCCTGACATGTTTATAGCTTTTTGTATTATATACTTTTGTTTTCCACTTTTAATATTTTGTAAATGAGCTATTTATAGTCTTTTTGAAGGAGAAATGTAACTAGCCAGAATAAGCAAACTCAGAAAATCACTAATTAGACATGTACAGTCATGACAGTAGCTATCCCTGAATGCTTTTTCTAAAATAATTTTCATCTTGTTCTTTTTATAAAAAAAAACAACACATACTAGAGACCCCGACCTTCTTGTTAGCATTTTGATGTCGTCTGCATTTACTGTTGTCCTTTTGGCATGCCTGAAAAAACGATGAAAAAGGTTTCATATACATGAATAATAAAAGTGCAAGTATTTAATCGTGTTAAACAGTTATAGAGCTTGTGTGTAAAAAAGCTGATGATTTTTAACTTTAGTAGTGCCTTAGGGTAAGACAAAAGACATGAAGTAATATTCACAATATTTGTAACAGATGAAGCAGTAACTAATTACATTACGATGTGTAGTCCTGAATATGTATGAAATATTTGCCACTGGACGTTAAGCAACCAACAATCAATCAATCATTATGATGTGGAGTAGATATCTCCAAGTTGATACGATATTCCATAATCCAGAGCATGTGTTTCCTATCATAATTTTCTTGATAGAGGGTTGCTGCTTACTAGCTATAGGCAGCTATTGAACCAAGGGTTGGTAAAGTTGAAATCATCCATTCAAAAGATTAATTGAGGCCATTATGGTTTATAGGTTGACCGTTATGGAATATCTGTGACGCATATATGACCATGGATATGATGGAATTAAGTAGCCATAATCCTTTTTACCTCCATTGCGTGAATTTGATTAATCACCCAAATTTTACTTAACATGAGCAACACAACAGGTGTCACATGTACAGCAGGATATACCTACATTGTACCTTTCCAGAGTATCTTAGATCACTCATTTCTTTTGGTGGGGTTTGTGTCGCTCAGTGTTTTGTTTTTATGTACCAGTAGTGTATTGTAGACTCACCTTTGTTTGACTTTTCAGCAGTTTCTGTTGTTTTTAGCCATGTTAATGTTGCTTTCTCTTGTACATATGAATTTTGATTGTCCCTTTGGCATATTCTACCTTTTTTAGCAATTCTGGCGCATTTAAGCTCGCAATAGGTTTTTCGTAGGTTTTATATTGCTCAATGATAACCTTTCTTTGTAAAGGTTTAACTTTTGTTTGCCTTTTTGTGAGCTGTCTGTTATATGACAAATGATTTGTGGTTGTCCCCTTGGTATTTCCTAATTTTTTAAACAGTCAAAACTTGCAAATCTTTTTGAATTGTAATGATCTCTTTCAAATTATTTCTTTCTTTGTGGCAATTTTAAATCATCACATCACAATTAACACACTGTCACGCTTTTTTCATTTGACCTCGCTACATGTACATGTATTTTAGATGAGGGAATGTGGTTATCTCTGAGCATGCTGAGAATATAAATCTTTTCAATTTCTAACATGTGATAAATAAACATACTTTGTAAACATCTCCATATCTTCTGCAAACTTTTGACATTGTCTCCATGCTGTTTCTGATATTGAGGCTACCAACTGTTTTGTGCAGACGACATCTAACTCTGAGGACTGCTGTTGGCATATCTTCATTGTAGTATAATGGAGTGCTGCTTTTAATCTCTAAAATTAGAAGGAAAATAAATTTAAGGTGATTTTTTGAAAGATTTTTAAGTAACTGTTTTAATTGATCAATTTTTATAATAGTTTGCTCCTCATTGTCCTCCTACTACTACTTTACATGTATATTTCAAACCACAAAGTTTGCTTTCTTAACATGATTATTCTTAACATGATTAAAGGTTATTTGTGTTGTTGATTTGCTTTATCAGTGACATATATGGAAGACTCAGATCGAAGTTGCGTCTCTAATCGATGTCCATTCCTCAAATCTATGTCTAATTCCGACATCATAATAAAATAAGATTCCAAATCGACGGCCAATTTTATAAGCTTCTAATCGACATCTTTTTTGTTGTTCTCAAATTGTCCTCTAATTTTTTGGCTTCTCTAGATCTAATCTACATCATTTGAATGGACTTGGTGCAATGACTTAACAAGTTATTTAAATGGTGGTTTGAACCTACAACTCAAAAGTAGTTGAAAAATTAAAGATTTTAAATCTTGCAGACTTAAAAAAAATAATACTTTTCAACAATTGACTGTACTACATCATTGTAAATGTAATAATGTCAACTTCACATACATATGATGGCAAACAATCCTACCATGCATAGAGCATGTAGAGCTTTCTGTCATACATGTACAAAAATGTATGGTCTCAAAGGAGCTGCATTCACAAAGAGTTTTTAACACAATACTAATAAAAAATTTGGTCAAAGTCCAATAACCAGATAACTCCTATTAATATGGTTGGATCAAAATAAGGGTTTAATATTGTCTACCATCCTCCCTCATACTAATAATAATAATATATGGATAGTCAACCTCTCTATGATGGAAACAACGGTTGGACAGAAGGATTGCATGTGTATAATTTCTTCTCCGCTGCCACAAAAATCAGAACAAAATATTATGTGGTTAACCGAAAATTACATTGAATTGTATGGCACATCTGAACCACTTTTATAGATATTAGTAGTTTATCTCAAATAAACTAGGATTATCTCACTATTCTTGCATTAACCTCAGATAAACAGGGATATCTTGGAAATTAAATTATTTTTCAAACAATCCCAGTTTTTCTCAGAATTTTCAGCCTTCTTTTACCATGTTTACATTTATTTACTTCTTTAAATTACCTGTTGTTAGTGTATCAAATTTTACATCCTCACACCCTTTTATCTGATTTCTGTCGTAAAGTGAAACTTTAAAAAAAAACACATCACTTTCTTGTTCTTTCATGGATGCCGCCAGTTTCTTGACTACTGTGCATGCGTTTTGAAAAATCAAGGGAATATCATAAACAAATTGTTTATGACGTCATTTGACAGTTATCAGGATTCCTTTTTGAGATCGGCTATTCCCAATGGATTTTTTCAGGTTTTTTGAAAATATCCAGTCCAGCTAACAGTTTGAAATGGATGAGAAGTAATGGGTTGCTGAAAAAGGCCACATTTTAATTATTTAAAGGTAATTTTAATGGGACCCCAAAAGTAAAAGAGTGCAATTATAAATTATAAATATAAAATCAATGATATAAATTCAAATAATTTGGATGAAAATTTTATCAAAATTTTAAATCCTGTTTGAAAAAGAACTAAAATCAATTTGTATGTACATTGAAGAAGCTCTTGATTTGAGAGACCACCATACTGTTTCATCGGATAATAATCCCTTATCATAGTACAATGTAGTTTATGCATATGTAAGACATAAGAGTGTCCTGTGAAAAAGTGTCCACCTGGACAGTTTTTCATAGAATTTTGGTATTAAATAATGTCCATTGCCATGAAATATTGTCCTCCAAGTGGACAGAATTTTACTGCAAAAGTTATGAAATAGTGTCCACCCACAGGACAAGTTTTCATAGTACATGTAGTTGGTAATTAAATTGTGTCCTCCAAGGGAAGTAATACAAAGGTCATTAAAAAGTTTTACTATACTTGAATTTTAATAAAATCAGAAAGATTGATTAGAAATTGATTAATATAAACAAACAAATAATGGATGGAAATGAATATAGAGAAATTTAAGTTCTAAGAAATATCCAGGTAATGCTAATGACAATGAAAGAAGAACAATAAGAAGGAAGTATGTAAAGTATAAAATCAAATGTGAAGAACTTTACTATATATATTATGAGAAGGCAGAAGAAAGTACATGTATATTAAAAAATTAAATAAGAAGATAAGGATGATATGAGTGCCAATGAGATAACTCTCTGTCAAAGTAACAATGTATTAAAAGTTAGCAATTATAGGTTAAAATACGTCCAGTAATAACAAGGCAATGATCGATATCATTTAATATCATTTAATACTTTAATCATATCAAAAAATGACCTGGCGGACATAATGTCCTGTGAAAAAATGTCCACCTGGACAGAATTATTAAATAATGTCCATGTTCATGGACACTTTTTCATACCTCAGGACATATTTTCATGGGAAATTGTGTCTGGGACACATTTTAATAAGTAAATATTGTACATGGACAGTATTTACTATGAAATATATAATGTCCCGTGGACATTATTTCATGGGGGACATTATCAAATCCTTCACATATACATCTTATATAGCATGTATAGGTGATTGTGTGTTTTAAGTAAAATTATGAAAATTTAGAATAATCATGCTGTATACAGAATAAGTGTATGGTATCACTATGAGTTCTGAATGTTATGGTATCCATAGAATTTGCTTATGACTTGTTGTGACATGGACCTATATTTCATTTATATGTTGTTTAAATATATTATTAGTAGATATAGGAAGATGAAATATATTATGGTCTGTATTTGGATCACACCTCTATTGTGCTCTTTCCTATAAATATTGAATTGAATTGAATTATGCCTTCTTCTACATTAGGGGTCCCACAACCTATATATAGGTAATTTTAATGGGACCCCTAAAGTAAAAGAGTGCAATAATGCCGTCTTTTACTTTAGGGATCCCACAACCTAGCCAATATAAGCCAGCTTTAGCTGGCACTTATGGTAGAAGCATCGAATTGGAATAAAGAACGATAACTCTCTCTACATGATCAATCTAAAATGTTTCGTCACTCTCGTTAAATCTCGTACGATTTTTTTAAAAAAAATTTCGAAGTTAATCAAGTCAAGTTATCTAACTCTTAAAAATATTTTTTTTCTTTGTTTTCCTTATATTTATTAAATAAATATTGTATTCTTGCTTGGCTCCAACTATAAAGTCAATTCTACAAATAATGAAAAATAAATTAGCATTGGAATATCTGTCAGGACATTGTCAGGACATTAGTTTAACCCTTATATTTTTAATGGCTGCCAGATTCTTGTTTAATCGCCATCTTGAAAAACGGGACAAAACGGGATAAATTCGATGTTAAATACGACATGAATTTTTATTTGTTTACAAAAACAAGAATTTAGAAATTTTAGTAACTTGTGTAGTTTATTTAAATTTTATTGTACCACGGAAATAACCGAAGTTTGAACCACAGGTACTTCATTTAAAAGTTACAATATCGTAAATTATTTATGATAACATTTGTAGTGTAAAAGTTCCGTCCAGCCATGGGAACACAGAAAAACCCTGAAAACTCAGATCGGAATAGCATGGACGATATGTTAGTTATATGTCCTTGTGAATAGTAAGGAAAGCTATCAATAATTCTGCAGATAATGCAATTTTATCAGGTTTATGGTACATTTTCTGTTCAAATTTTCACACAATCAGTGAATAGTTCAAAAAGTCTAATGTAACTTTTTTTTACTGAAAGTTTCAAACAATGACAAGTGTTTCATTCATGAAATAACTCGTGCATTTCTGCGAAAAAAATCATGCGCAATTTTGTGAATTAAAGGGAAAGAAGATCCTTTTGCGGTGCACTCGCGCATGTCAATTGCGAACTGACCCAATATATTTTCTTTATCATGACCAGTTCACTGATACCAACATTATCAAGAAGTACACATCAAAGGAAAAATGCACAAATTACCGATAAAATAATTTACACACCCTGTTTCTTGTGTATCTCCTACCATATCAGTATTTGTTGCATTTATATATAAATGAGAAATAATCAATGTAAAAATGGTAAATTGTTGGAGAAAAAACCCAAAAGTCATGAAAAAAACAACCCAAAAATGTTGTTTTTGACCACTGACTCCTAAACTGTTGGTACCATATGATAACCCCCAAAATCAATTTTAACCTTCCTTTTGTGTATTGAAGTTGAACCTTCAGGTACAATTTCATACATTGTCATACAGATCATCCATTTACTTAAACTAAAGTTATTGTCTGGAAACCAAATGTGTCTTCGGACAACAACAGCGACATGATAGCATTACTGGAAAGCAAATTTTTGACATATACAACCATTTCCATTCTGAATTTTATTTTGCTGTTGTATAAAAACTTGAAAAGTAAGCTAATAAAACAAAATGCAAAAATGACATAAAACTGACTCTGAATTAGTACATGAAATTGATGTAGAAACCCACAAACAGAAGATGATCAGGAATACATTAATACTGCTGAGCAGTGTTCTCCCCTCAAATTTTTAAATAGCATCCTAGAAAATAGCAAAATCTTTAGATTATCAACTTAACAATCCTATTTATGGTTCCTTATGCTTAGATCAAAATGAAAAACCTGATCAAAACATTATTCTAAACAGGCTCACTGTAAATTCAAACTCTTCTTTTAACAATCAGAATGATCCTCTTGCTGATCACATATATATGAGATGCAGGAAACTGGGAATACAATATGAACATCCAGCAAATTTAGAAAGTAAAAATAATTCAAAAAATAGAAAGCTTTGTTTGCAATACTAAATTAAAAAAACAGCTACAACTTTTAGATATTGATGAAAAAGATATTCCAAATCCTCCACCTTTTCATGAAAATCAACAAAAAAATTAATTTAATAAAGTTATGGATTGTATAACAGTATTCATAGTTTTGAAATTAAACAAATGTCTTATTGTTTTAAATTTTGTAAAATTTGCAAAGAAAGAAAAATGGATTTGAAAATGGCACAAGATAATGAATTTAAGCATTGTCATTTAGAAAAATCACCAATAAATTTATTTTCAGCAGAAAACAATATGGACAATAAGGGTGCAACCATTTAGCTTCAAAAAAGGGGGGGGGAGGGTATGTTTTTTTGTTTGAGGTAGATTTTTTTTCACGAAAAGGGCTTCAACACTATCAATCAAAATTATTTGGTAAAAAATTAACACAGGATAATCTCGATTCAGAATATTTTTTTGTCCTCTGCTTGATTAGAGTATTTTTTTTTCATCAATTTGGGAATCAGAATATTTTTGAAGAAAAAAAAAACATACTCCATCCTGCCTTTTGAAGTTCAATGATCGTTCCCTTAACATTTTCCATCTGAACTTATTATTTTATTTTAGACAAAAACTATATGTAGGACATTCGTCCTGAACATGCATGAAATATTTGCCACTGGACGTTAGGCAAACCAACAATCAATCAATATGTAGGACATAGTCTTGGTAAGCTGGCATTCAAGGTAGCGCCTTCCTCATATTATATAAACTATCAATACAACAGTATAAAATAAAACAACAGCACAATGCATTTTAAAAACACTATATATTGTAGGACCCTCCATTTTTTAATAGTAATGTTTGGACCCCTAAAGTAAAAGAAGTCCAAATTTTCAGATAATGAGATAAACCGGGACCTGTCCAAAAGAAACTCAGGATATAAATAATACCTAATAAAATTACCTGCTGATATTGAAGACTTTCGTAATCATCATCTGTGTTGTTGTCTGCCATTTTCATCGAACTCATACAGTCTGTAATATGCTTAGTTTTATCTGGGAACAGTATATCTAACTATATATCTTCCTGGTTTCATAATCTTTTCGTAAAATGATTCATTTTCGTTTCAATTATTGCGGGTAAATCAAGTAACCTATAGATCTGTAAAGATCTTCGTTTCGCTTTATCGTTTTGTCGCCATTTAAAACACTTGATTAGTCTTGACTAAAGTGTAATAATCTCTTTCCAAAGTGCTGAACGGCGTGTATAAAAATCCGGAAAACGAAAAGTATTATTTTCTTAGATTTTAAACTTTGTGTACAGAAATTAATTTGATATTGTGTGGTACTAAATTAATACGAGGAAGGCGCTACCTTAAATGCCAGCTTTATACCAAGACTATGTCCTATATATTGATTGATTGTTGGTTGCTTAACGTCCAGTGGCAAATATTTCAATGATGCATGTTCAGGACGAATGTCCTTTTAAGAACTTTTGTGCTGCATGTTTATATACTGATATGAACTCTTGCTTTATATGTTTAATTTATGTGTGCATGACTTGATATGTATGTTTTGTTTTATTTGTTGCTCTGTCGGTTTTAAAAGCTCTTCAGAGCTTATGTTTTATACTTGTATTTGCACATACCGACTCTAAATAAAGCTTTATGTCTATGTCTTATGTCCTACATATCTGTATAGTTTTTGTCTAAAATAAAATAATAAGTTCAGATGGAAAACGTTTAGGGAAAGATCATTGAACTTCAAAAGGCAGGAGGGGGTATGGTATTTTTTTGCTTTGACGCATCGCAGGAAGGCGTCAAAGCAAAAATTCAAAATAGCCTTCCTAGACGTCATAATTATTTGGACTAGCATTTTTCTTAAAAAATTGACGGAAAAAATACTCTGTTCAAGCAGAGGACAGAAAAAAATATTCTGAATCCAGATTTCCCCCTTACCTTCTAGTGTTATATTTTGACTAAATAATTTTGATTGATAGCATTGAAGCGCTTCACGTGAAAAAAATCTGACTCAAACAAAAAACCATACCTCCCCCCTTTGAAGCTAAATGGCTGCTCCCTTATTGTTTTCTGCTGAAAATGAATTTATTGGTGATTTATATAAATGACAATGCTTACATTCATTACCTTGTGCATTTTCATATCCATTTTTCTTTCTTTGCAAATTTTACAAAATTTAAAACAATAAGACATTTGTTTAATTTCAAAACTATGGATACTGTTATACAATCCATAACTTTATTAAATTAATTTTTTGTTGATTTTCATGAAAAGGTGGAGGATTTGGAATATCTTTTTCATTAATATCTAAAAGTTGTAGCTGTTTTTTATTTAGTATTGCAAACAACGCTTTCTGTTTGTTGAATTATTTTTACTTTCTAAATTAGCTGGTTGTTCATATTGTATTCCCAGCAGTACTAACTAACTGGAAGTGTTTAACGACCTTGACTGGATGTACATCCCTCGCACGGTCGGCTCGGTGCCCGAAGGCGTTTGGTGAGCATTAAAATATTTTCTGCAGTGGGTCAGGAACAGGTGGAAGACGCCATTTTGATAGGTCGCCATCTTGGTTTTGCTGAGTTGTTTTTGGTTTGTTTACTATTTTGTTGTTTCTTTATAGTCGAAACTCCACAACGGCTGTTTTCAGGGCCAGGTTGATCAGCTGGGCAGCCCACTAACCACGACGATGTGTTGTTGGTAGATGAATCATTGACTCTGTAGTAGATGACTGCAACCTGCACGTAGCTAAATACACATAGCCCTCGGACGTCTGGGCAGCATGTGACACTCACCCATCCACAATGGGTTTCAGAGTGTCGCTAACGCGGGTCTACTTGTAAGGTAACATCATAAGCTAGTTTGTCGTTGAACCATCTGGGCAGCGTAACATGTTGTAGCCAACGGATAATCAGGAGCTGATCCAGCACGTCCTTTCAGCTGTAAGGACTGGGACGTGACTGGGAATGATGATGATGATGATGTCCAAGCAGTATAAATGTATTCCTGATCATCTTCTGTTTGTGGGTTTCTACATCAATTTCATGTACTAATTCAGGGTCAGTTTTATGTCATTTTTGCATTTTGTTTTATTAGCTTACTTTTCAAGTTTTTATACGACGGCAAAATAAAATTCAGAATGGAAATGGGGAATATGTCAAAAATTTGCTTTCGAGTAATGCAATCATGTCACTGTTGTTGTCCGAAGACACATTTGGTTTCCGGACAATAACTTTAGTTTAAGTAAATGGATCTCTATGACAATGTATGAAATTGAAGGAAGGTTAGAATTGATTTTGAGGGTTTTCATAATTATTGTACCAACAGTTTAGGAGTCAGTGGTCAAAAACAACATTTTATGGTTGTTTTTTCCATAATTTTTGTTTTTTTTTCTCCAAAAATTTACCATTTTTACATTGATTATTTCTCATTTATATATAAATGCAACAAATACTGATATGGCTGGTGATACACACGAAACAGGGTGTGTAAATTTTGTGCATTTTTCCTTTGATGTGTACTTCTTGATAATATGTCAACGTGTCAAGTATCAGTGAACTGGTCACGATAAAGAAAATATATTGGGTCAGTTCACAAGTGCATCGCAAAAGGATCTTCTTTCCCTTTAATTCACAAACTTGCACATGATTTTTTTCGCAGAAACGCACAAGTTATTTCATGAATGAAACACTTGTCATTGTTTGAAACTTTAAGTAATCAGCTGGTAATAAAAAGTTAGTTTAGCCTTTTTGAACGATTCACTGATTGTGTGAAAATTTGAACAGAAAATGTACAATAAACCTCAGTGATAAAATTTTGTTATCTGCAGAATTATTGATAGCTTTCCTTACTATTCATGATCACTAGGACATATAACTTACATAACGTCCATGCTATTCCGATCTGAGTTTTTATTCATACATAGTCTGGCATGGCTGGTGCTGTTATACACATCATATAATTTTGTTTTGGTTATAACTATGGACTAACACTTCAAAAGCAACATATATATATATAATCATTCTTTCAATTGACCTTTAGATAAATATAGAGTCTAATTAAAATTTAGTAACGTATCTGGTCAAAGAAATAGTGACATATATTCTCAAAACTGTGTTGGTTTTATTTTATGACAAACTACTTAAAATGACATAAATTTGTATTGGCTAAATGGTGATAGATCTGAAAAGGCAACACAGGTACATTATTTTACAAGCTTCTTAAGTTAAATACTCAACAGAAAAAATATCTATACCATCAGGGACATTCGTTTTACTCAAAATAATACGTTTTAGTGTAAGGCTGGAGTAATTTTAATATTCTTCTACGTAGCAATTGTGTTAGTTTTAGCTAGATATCTTCCTTGACTTTCAAAAGCATATTTGTTTAGACATTTTAAAGCAGATGAGGCTTCAAATATCTACAGGGACAACAAATCACGTATTGGACCTGATTTCCTGAGAATGAGTGGTGTATAATGTCAAATCATAACAATACAAATTGTTTAGTCTCAAAGAAAACTTGTAAGATTTCCGCAGTTATTTTTGTTGAATAGGTGCAAATTGGGTACTCGGTGCAATTTGGGAACTGTGACGTTATAGCCATAAGTGTTTATTGCTTTAATAGGTTGAAATGTGCACCTGATAAAAGTATTCAGTAGAGGGAAAATGTTTTGATCAGGTTTAAACTGACGCATGAAATACACAGGCGACTGCGGGAAGCAATTATTTATATTGCATCCAAATAATGTGCCGGCAGCTTGAATTTCAAAGGATGTAGCCCACATACTTCCAATTCATGGTATTGTCATGGGTTATTATAACTCCATCTTCCCATAAAATTCTATTTTGGACAATATGGGTGCATACAATACATATGTACGTATAAATGTATTACTCAGACTCAAGTCTCCTTTTACAGCTGTTTTAATTTATGATTAAACTCCTGGGACTGTTTAAGGTAGATATGTGTCACAATTAATGACAAGATTTGTTGAGAGTTTGTCAAAGGAAGTACATGCAGTCTATACAGATAGTGAATTTGAATATATTTTCTTTGCTTAAAACTTTTGTTAAGTTTTGAATTTCACAGGTCTGCATTTGTCTGTGAGCTTAAAGGAATAACCTTGATCACATTCAACAGTAGAACCAACTTCATTATCACTGTTTCTTGATATGGGAAATTCTGTAGCAGATAATTAATAGTGGTCATGGTCAACCAGAGGCAGAGCACCGGATTTTACTTCCTCCGGCTACGTTTCTCCCGAAATTTATAGCTTGCAGAGGGGTTTTCTGTGTTCCCATGGCTGGACGGAACTTTTACTTCTGTCCCGGCAACCTGACTATCACTTAAATTAAAGTTAAAACAGACATTTTTTTCAAAATTCCCTATCAGTTCAATATAATTTCCGTGACCCGTATCCGATTTCTTTAGTTTAATATTCAAATAAGCAAAGTGGCGTTGATTCCTGGATATGAGGGCTTTATAGCCAGTCAAGGTCGTTAAAAACCATATAAGTAAGTTTGTATCAATAGCTATTATCATCTGAAGTTAAATGACTTTTTAATCAGCGCGTGCCACTCGGCACGGGACCCAATCATCATATTCAATCAACCTTATCCAATAAACCATTGTCTTTTGATCGTTAGAGAGATATAGATTTCACCACTGCAAAAAGTGTGTTACGATATTTCTCCACTCGAGACAGTTAAATTTTTTAAATATTTAAAGCGCGAGGCTTGCCGAGCTTTTTAAATAATTAAAATTTAACTGTTGAGAGTGGAGAAATATCGTAATACACGAGTTATAGTGGTGGAATCTGTTTCTCTAATGATTTTTATCCTTCCTTTTCAAAGATTTGCAGAAATTTGTGTTCTGTGCCATGACGTCATCAGGTATGGTCGCCTTTTTTCATAACGTCACAATAGGAAATTCAGAAGAAACCCAAGAAAATCTGACGTCATAATTAAATTTCGACCAATCAGTTACCGAGAACAAATATCTCACTAGTGAGGAGAACTATTTTTCTCACACCGATCAAGAAATGTGAAAAAAGCACAAAAATTAGAGAAACATATATACATGTGTATTTATGTCTCTGATCGTTACTAATTAATAGTTAATGCAAGGATTTGTACTATACAAATCCTTTGTTAATGGTATAG